CCATCTTCCTGGGTATGCCAAGAATGCAAGGTTCTGACTGCTCTTTACCAGGGTTATTTCTCAAGGTTGTGTTTATAGCGAGCAACCTTGAGGGATGAAGTAATGTTTCCTTTCAAGACAAAGAACAGGTTTGCTTACTGCTTCCTATAAAACGACAGGTTCCCCAAACTCATTCCTCAGATGAGATGGAAATCTAGTAATCTAGCACGGCATTTATCAGAGCCCTTCCTTTCATCCTGGTAGGATTTGGGGAGCAAGAGTAACTGACACAAACATGCTAAAGCTCATGTTGCTTCCCGTGTCCTGAGTAATAATCCTTTGTTTCTGACCCAGGAATCTTGCGTCTTCTACAGCTGCGGTCCCCAACTCCCCCTGACTGCAGCTGTCCACGGCCTATTAGAAACCTGGCCTTGCATCACGGCCTGCCCTGCCCTGTGTCCGTGGAAAATTGCCTTCCATGAAAGTGGTCCCTGGTGCCAAAAAGGTTAGGGACCGCTGTTATACAGTATCCACGAAACAGTAACAAACCAACATATTACGCTACCGGTTGGGTAGAATCAAATGCCAGACTTGAGCAGTAATCGCTTAAGAAAGCTATTTTCATTATTTTCACTCTTGTTGCATTTGCCTTCACTACGCACTCTGTACAGTATCCACAAATTTGTGTTTTGGTAGGTAGCCAAAAAACACCAATTGCTGCCGTTTGCAAAGAACTCTATCGTACTGTTGGGAAAAACAAACAATATGAAATAAAGGTAACTTCTCCTGGCCAACATGCGGTGCCCAGCTGGGGCGGGTTCGGTTGCGCTACGTTTTGGCTGGGTTGGGTCTGCGCTTTAGGCCACTAGTATTCAGGTTCACAATGTTTGGGGACCTATTTGAAGAAGATTATTCCAGTGTGTCAAATAAGCAGTATGGAAGAGGGAAGACGTTAAAGAGTAAAGCTTTGGAGCCACCTGCTTCTAGAGAATGCACCAATTGAAGTGGAATCAGAAATCTGTGTGGAACTTGTTACCCAATTTCCTTCTTCGGATTCTTCATTTCACACCTGAGTTCAAAGAAACTTTATTTTCTCTTGGTCCAGAAAAGCATGGTTCGTTCGAAGATGAGGATAAACCCGATGCAAAGGTTGGAATCATACCTTTACAGTTACAGTGCTTGTTTTTCTCAGCTTCTGCTCTTACACCAGGAAGCTGCATCCATGGCAGACTTCACTGACAGCTTCTGGTGGACCAGCAATGGGGAAATGAGGCAGCATGATGTGCAGGAACTGAATCAAATTCTCTTCAGTGCTCTGGAAATGTCTTTAGTTAGGACCTCTGGCCATGACTTCATCTGTATCACTGAACCCTTGTCAGGCAGATTGTTTGTAAAGAATATAAGAACATCAGTGAGAAGCAGGAAGACTTCTTAGGTCTAACTGTAGCAGTCAAAAATGTAACTGGTTTGGAAGATGCACTCTGGAACACATATGCAGAAGAGGAATTTTTTTGACTATGACAAATTGTACCACTGTGGAACTTGTGACAAGCTGGTTAAAGAAGTAAAGGCAAAGATAGATACCTGCCTTTTCCCAGGGTCCCCACTTAGTACTTACTAAGTACTTAGTATTTGGTGGTAGGAAGGTCTGTCAACTGAAGTTTTCTTTTTTTTCTTTCTTTCTTTCTTT